AATGTGATATGATTTACTTCTCTTGTGTGAGATATATGCTATTACATATAAGTGAGGTTAAGTTAAGTGTATTGAAAGTTAATTAATGTGGTTTAATGTTCTCTCGATGAGAACTGATTGTATTATATTTTCTGAACTTAATTACAATGAGATTAGATGATGTGAATATATAGAATAGAGAGTCACAGTGTGACAAGGATAAGAAGTTCTAAACAGACTCATATACATAGAGTCCTAATACTCCCCCTCAAGCACAGTGTATACTAGTAACCTGTAGCTTGTCCCTTAAGGAAGAAAATCTAGGTCCAGGCAGAGCTTTGGTGAAGATATCAGCAAGTTGATCCTTTGTGGAGATGAAGTTGACTTGGATATCGCCCGAAGCTACTCGATCACGAACAAAATGATAATCAATCTCCACGTGCTTGGTGCCCGCATGAAAGATTGGATTGGCACTTATATATGTAGCTCCTAGATTATCACACCATAATTTTGGAATGGAAATACCCGGAATCTGTATCTCACGCAATAATGACATAATCCATAGAACCTCAGCACAAACATCTGCAAGAGCTTTGTATTCAGCCTCAGTGGATGACCTGGCAACAGTTCTCTGTTTCTTGCAAACCCATGATATAAGATTACTCCCCAAGAAAACAGCAAAACCACTCGTGGATTTTCGATCGTCAGGACAACCAGCCCAATCAGAATCAGAGAAAGCATGAATGTCTCTAGATGAGCATCGTCGTATGCGTAAACCATGATCAGCTGTTCCCTTAACATACCTGAGTACCCGTTTGAGCTGCTCCCAGTGTGATATGGTGGGGGCATGCGTATGCTGGCATAACTGATTAACTGCAAAGGATAGGTCAGGTCGTGTGACAGTGAGATATTGCAGTGCTCCAGCTAGACTCCTGTACTGTGTGGGATCATCATATAGATCTGAATTGAAGGGGACAGTTTTCGAGACAGAGATAGGTGTAGAAAGGGGTTTGCATTCAGACATTCCAGCCCGTTTTAAAATGTCATTCATATACCGTTGTTGAGATAAAATAATCCCATTGTCACTCTTAACTGTTTCAATACCCAGAAAAAAATTTGGTTCACCAAGATCTCTGATTTTGAATGTAGCAGACAGTTTGGACAAGAGCTGAGACATAATACCTTGATCACTTCCCATTACAAGAATGTCATCCACGTACACCAATAGATAAACCAAAGCAGAGTCTTTAGAGTAATAGAACAGAGAGACATCTGTCTTGGATGCTTGAAAGCCAACCGATAGTAAGAACGTATGTAGTCGATTAAACCAAGCTCTGGGAGCTTGTTTTAACCCATACAGAGATCTTTTTAACAAACAAACATGATTTGGGAAGTTAGCATCAATATAACCAGGGGGTTGCTTCATATAAACTGTTTCAGCCAGATTACCATTCAGAAAAGCATTATGAACATCTAGCTGTTTGATAGACCACCCAGATGATAAAGCTAGAGATAGAAGGAGTCTTACAGTCGTAGGCTTTACCACTGGACTAAAAGTGTCGAAGAAGTCCTGACCTGGAACCTGATTAAAACCTTTCGCAACCAGCCTAGCTTTATGCCTTTCAATAGCACCATCAGCCTTTCTCTTCGTACGAAACACCCATTTACAGCCAATAATATTCATACCTGCAGTGGGTGGAACTAGAGACCATGTGTGGTTATGCAGGAGAGCATTGAATTCTTAGTCCATGGCTTCACGCCACTCAGGATATTTGACAGCTTGAGAGTAACATGTGGGTTCCGTGGGATGCACTTGAGCTGCTAGAGCAAAAAGAGGAGCATCTGCGTTGCTGCGAGTGGCCATAGAGTGAGTACGAACATTGGGCCTGATGGACCGCCCATGTGGACGGCCTCGCCGGCGAGCAACAGGCTCCACAGGATCACCCGACGAGGCAGCCTGTCCAGGAACCACGGCTGGTTCGAATGAAGCAGGTAGCGGCGGTTCTGGCAGCTCATCATTGGACACGGTAGGAATAGGTGTGCTGTGACTGAGAACAGATTCCGCCCAAGGTCCAGAAAACGGAGTAGATAGATCCTGCAAAGAAGTTTTAGTAGCAAAGGGGAAAACTTCTTCATCAAATCTGACATGCCTGCATGTGTAAATCTTTTTTGTATGTAAGTCCATGCATCTGTACCCCCTAAAGGACTCAGGATAACCTAGGAAGACACATGGAGAAGACCTGTATGACATCTTATGACGATTATATGGTCGAAGATGAGGGTAGCATAAACACCCAAAGACACGAAGAAAAAGATAGGAAGGAGGGGATTTATGTAACAGGAGATGAGGACTGGAGTTATTTAATATAGAAGATGGCATTCTGTTAATTAAATAGACAGCAGTCTCAAAGGCAAAATCCCAAAATTTCAAAGGAACAGAGGCATGAGCTAGAAGAGCCAGACCAGTTTCAACAATGTGACGATGTTTTCGTTCAACACGACCATTCTGTTCATGTGTATAGGCACAGGATTGTCTATGTTGAATTCCTAATTGAACAAACAAAGAATGTAACTTTTTGTACTCAACACCTAAATCAGACTGAATGGCCTTTATTTTGCAATTAAAGGACCGTTCAGCAAGAGTACGAAATTTATCAAAGATGACATAAAGATCAGACTTTAATTTCATAGGAAAGAACCATGTATAACGGGAATAGTCATCCACAAAAATCACAAAATAACGGAAGCCAGAAGTAGATAAAGTGGGCGCAGGACCCCAAATGTCTGTGTAAATAAGATCTAGGACTTGAGAACTAGAGGAAGCAACACGGGGAGGGGAAAACGGGCAGATTTGCCTAATTGACACGCATTGCATAAAGAATTATGACAACGAATATTATCTCGAGACCCACTAACCAAACAAGAACGAAGTATATGGCTAAGAACACGGTTATGAGGATGACCTAGACGATTGTGCCAAGTGGAAGCCGAGGCACGAGCGGAAATAAACGCTGACGGAGACGAACTAGGTAATGAAAGTGTGTATAGTCCCCCCGAACTATTGCCCCGAAGAAGTATTTCCTTGGTATTGATATCTTTTACAACAAAAAAGGAGGGGTGAAACTCAAAAAAGACTTTATTATTGGATGCAAACTTCTGAACAGATAATAAAGAATTAGACAAACGCGGAACGTGAAGTATATCAGACAATGTAAATGATCTAGAAGGGGTATTAAAAGAGGCATGGCCAACATGACTAATAGATAAACCCATACCGTCACCGACACGTAAAGTGTCATTACCAGTGTACTTCTCCGATGTAGAAAGGGCAGCGATGTTCGGAGTTGCATGATTTGTGGCTCCAGTGTCCGGAACCCAAGTATGAGAATTTGACGAGGTTTTAGCAACTAAACCATTCTGAAACACCAAATTAGCCTGAGAACCCGGAGCCCCTGAATATTGCCGAAAACAGTTGACTCCCGTGTGACCGAAACTTTTGCAAATTTGACACGGATCATTATAGCGCCAAAAACAATTGGCTCCCGTGTGACCAAAACGTTTACAAATTTGACACGGATCATCATAGCGCCAAAAACAATTGGCTCCCGTGTAACCAAAACGTTTACAAATTTGACACGGATCATCATAGCGCCAAAAATAATTGACTCCTGTGTGGCCGAAACCTTTACAGATTTGACACGGATCATCGAAGCCACGTTGCTGACCTCCACGGTAATTAAGGTTGCCATCGCAGCGCTGCATCTTCTTAATTTTATGAATCACAAAACCCTAGCTAACTGATACCAGATGAGAACTGATTGTATTATATTTTCTGAACTTAATTACAATGAGATCAGATGATGTGAATATATAGAATAGAGAGTCACAGTGTGACAATGATAAGAAGTAGAGAGTCACAGTGTGACAAGGATAAGAAGTTCTAAACAGACTCATATACATAGAGTCCTAATACTCTCATCATCTATGGTTAGTTTCATACTTTCATGTGCTGCACGAAAATAGGAAAATTGGCATTTTAAAAACAGTTAGGAAATGAGACGTGAAAAAAATGTGTAAATAATTAAAAAATATATGGTTATATTTGTAAATATATTTTTTTAATAGACATAATTAAAAATATTATATTAATAAATAAAAGTAACGCATTAAATGTTACAATTATATATATTTTATTTATTTAATAGTTCGACTTATTTGATACTCCGTACCATTTTCATAAATAATTAAAGGCTAAACTGTCATCCTGCACTATGAACTATATCGAATTATTCATGCCGCACCCTGTACTTTTATAACATATATTTTGAACCATAAATTAATAATTTTTTTTCATCTAGAACTTTTTACAGGTTACCCAGTTACCATGATGACATGGCACCGGTTATTAGCTTATGTGTACTTTCTTTTGTATTTTAGTGGACTCTATATTCCTAAATAAATCATTTTAGACTAGTTTCTTCATTTCTTCATCAAGAACAAACTTCCGCTTTCCGCTGGGCGATTACGCTTAACTTTTTTCTCGTTCTCGCTCAATAATTTGACGGCGACGTGCGCGGCGGAGGAGACCAGAAGACTTCATGGCCTCATAGGGCATATGGCCATTGGAGAACAAGTTGAGAGGTAAATTATATAAAGGGAGGGAGGAAGAAGATGGTACGTGGATCTGCAGGCAAACCATTTGTTGCAGCGGTTTCCACTTCCGACGGTGGCTTCATCGCCGGCGGCGGCTCTTCCTCATTCAGTGGCAATCTTTCGTAGGTTGCATGGATGATATTCATGCAATGATAGAAATATTCGGAAAAAAGACTGAAATGTGAAGATAGAATTACATATTTCTCAAAATGTGAATGTTTATTTTTGTGGACAAAAATATGAAAAACTAGTTTGGGACTTGCGTTTGATGTCAGAAGTGGTCAAATAAAAAACGGAAGTCCCACTTGCGTTTTTTTATTATTTTTTTTTTTTAAAAAAAATTTTGGTCGCCGGCGACCGAACTGAACCTACCCAAGATCAGCAAACTCTTGGCCCAGTGTTTTCTCGAAATACTCTTCCACTACGTGGGAACATTCTTTCTCAGCGGAAAATCTAAAAGAAAGAGTTTTCTTCCATGGCAGCTTGGCGTTGAACCTGCCGGTGAAACTGCTGGCATAACCGCAATGCTCGCCCAGTTTTCTTAGAGCTTTTTCCTTGGAGGACAGAGGCAACTCAAAGTAGCGGTCCATTTCACGGATACCGTCGGAGAGGAGCTCTGTGTCAACTCCGTGATTCACTACCAGAAAGAAGCCATGTTTTTTGTAGGCTTCGTCCACCAGCTTGCAAGTTTCCGCCACGGCCAGGGAATCGTCGGAACGGAAGGCAGCCATGTCGATGACAGGGACCTGGAATTCTCTGGCGGCGTAGGGGCCGGGTTTCTCGTGGTCCAGCCACAAGAATTCTGTTGGGATGTTGGACTCGTGGCGGAGGATGGAGGCGTTTGTGTTTTTTTTAAAAAAAAAAAAATGGTCGCCGGCGAGAAACCGGCGACCCAAATCGCTGGCTTCTCCAACGAAGGAGAAGGCAACCAGTGGCGGTGGCCTTCTCCTTCGCCGGAGAAGCCAGCGATTTGGGTGGCCGATTTCTCCAGCAAAGGAGAATGCAACTATTGCCTTCTCCTTCGGTGGAGAAGGGTGTCGCCGGCGATCCAATTTTTTTTTTTTTTTTTTTTAAACGCAAGTGGGACTTGCGTTTTTTATTTGACCACTTCTGACATCAAACACAAATCCCAAACTAGTTTTTCATATTTTTATCCACAAAAATAAACATTCACATTTTGGGAAATATGTAATTTTATCTTCACATTTCAGTCTTTTTCCTGAAATATTCATGCTAAATAGTTCTATCAGAATGGTTAGACAAGGTTTCATACTTTCATTAAGCACATGGGAGCTAATCAGCTAAAGGTGTTTATGCACATTTTTAAGCACCCAGAGCTTGCCTTAAAAAAAAAAGTTTCTATTGATAAGCACAAAATGAAATGAGTAAATGCTCATATGATAAGTTAGCTTTTTTTTATCTTATTCTTTTTTTAAAAGAGTGTAAAATAATTATCCAATAAACTGTTCAGGGGTATTACGTATATCAAAGTGCAAAATGGCAACTTTATGAATATGAAATGTATTTTTGCCAAGGAAATTAAATGATATATACCATTAAACCCCCCAAAATATCCCAATTTATGTGTATCTACATGAGATGATCTAAGCATCTAAATAAACCTGAACTAGGACACTTTTACTCCGGAAACAATGTTGTCATTAAGGGAAAGTCAATCATGTTTGTCAGCTAAGCATTTAGCTTGCTCAACATTCCACTGAACTTCCATCGCCTCAGCAGCTTTCGTCTTAAATGCGTCTGGTAATTAAAAAAGATGAAAACCTCTGTCTCGTTCATCTCAAGAAGCAAGCAAGACTTTTGAAGCTATGCAACTGCATCCACCACCGTCGGAAGTGGAAGTCGTCGGAAGCTATGCAACTGTAGCTGCAGCGCTGGAGAAGATGTTAGAAGAAGAAGAAAAAAAAAGTCCAAGTCAACGTAGATTATCTGTAACCTGTGAAAATTGCTAGATGAAAAAAAATTAATGGTTTGTGAATCTAAATGGACCTTATTAAAGTTCAGGGTGCGACATGAATAATCCAATATAGTTCATGGTGCGGGATGACACTTTAGCCATAATTAAATAGTAAATACTGATTATTAACAAAGTCAATTGGGTTGATGCCAACGTGAACGACACTGTTGCTTCTGGGAATTTCATCATATTGAGAAGATATGTAAGTTCCATATAGAGTTTGAAAGTTAACAACTTCGATCAAGTCATGAATTCTGCATATCTTAAATCACGGAGAATAATGAAAAAGTGAGAAAAAAATTAGAGCAATGTATGCTGAATTGATGAACGGTTAACTTAGTAATCATAAGTTTTTAAGTTTAACTCTTTATTTATTGATTTTCTTGATTTAGTTTACCTCACCTATAGCTTACTTTTAAAGTCGTTGCGTTCTCGTTGTCCTAAGCTGGAGACCATCAAGGAGGAAGGTAATGATGGAGCCTAGCTACAGTAGCATCGTTCCTCTCATCGTCATAATATTTGTTTCATTAATAGCTATGATATAGGGACCGGATTCGACAATATCACGGTTAATTTATGAATTATTGTAATAAGTGTGCTTACTAGTTACTTCCTAACTACTTCGTTAGTAAGACTCGTACGTCGTAACGTTGTGTATTGACTTTTTTGTTTGAGCCTATTGATTATACGGAGTAATAATTTAGCTTAGTTTACCTCATTGTGATATTTTACCTCATTCGTTAATAAGACTCGTAAGTCGTAATGCTTGTTACTTGTGATAGAAATAATAATACTTATTACAAAAAATTTAGTATCAATTTAAAATAAATAAATTGTTACTTATAATAAATATTGTAATATTTAGGTTGTGTTTGTTTAATGAGTTTACACACTAGGAATGAGAATCAAAATCATAGTTAGTGTTTGGTTGACAACTTTTTAAAACACAACTATGAGATTTAATTACCCTTTCAATTAAAAATCTCATTTCCCAATTAAAAATGGTATCATTCCATCTCATTGCTAATCTAATTTTTAAGTTTGGATTAATAGTTTTAGATATTTTGTTTGTTAATATTGATGTTTTAGATGTCATTATATTAGGATCAATTGGCTTGATTTTTTGTATTTTTTTTGTATTTTTTTTTGTATTTTTAAAATATTTATTCCCATTATAGGGTCATACACAACGACATCCACATCAATATCAATATTGGTAATAATTCAAATTTCACCATACTACCTACCGAACATGCAAAATACTTTCACCAAAACCCATTACCATTACCAAGTATTTGATTTCCATTTCGATTCTGATTCTCATATGCGAACCAAACACACTCTTAATTTATATGTGAAGTTGTGATACTATTTAGGGTAAAAATGATTGTTACTAATGATAAATATTGTAATACTTATAACTTAATTTCTAATACTTTAAATTGTAATTCTAATGTAAATATTGTAATACTTATATGTGAAATGTTACCTATGAAAGAAATTGTAATACTTATTGTAAAATAAAAAAAAAAATTAATACCAATTTGAATAAAAAAAAAAATCGGTCACTTATATTATGATAGATGTTGTAATACTAATATGTGAAATTGTGAGACTATTTAGGGTAAAATTGATTGTTACAAATGAGAAATATTGTAATACTTATAATTAAAATCATGATACTTACATACTATCATTTGTCTATAACTTGGCCCAATTCATGCTCACGGACAAAGATACGTGGGATGATCTCACTCAATTTTTTGTCATTATATTGTTGAATAATGGCGTATTGCATAACTATTATTATTATTACTAGTAGTTGCACCTGTGCGATGCACGGCCATATGTATAGTATATGGAATATACAGTATAAAATATAGTTATTGAAAATGTAATACAATAGGGCCCAATAAAATTGTTATTTGATTACACATTATTGAAAACTTCTTTGTACACAACATTTTTTGTCTTACTTAGACATGTTACATTTTCGCCACAAATCAATATTTTTAAACCCCTAGGATTTCTAACTCTTGAAACCGCTACGTACATTTGCCCATGGTTAAAGACGGGTCTTTTTAAAAACAATCCCACTTTTGAAAGAGTTTGTCCATGACTTTTGTTTATTGTCATGGCATAGGATAGCATCACAGGAAATTGCTTTCGTTGGAATTTGCAAGGCAATCTTGGATCAGATGGTGTAAGTGACATTCTGGGAATAAGTACTCTAGTACCTGCATTTGTACCGCACATTATCTGGCCTTCCAACACATGATCAGCTAACCTTGTTACAATCAACCTTGTACCGTTGCATAAGCCAAGAGTATGATCAATATTTCTCAAGAGCATAACCGGTGATCCAACTTTCAATGTCAATGCATGATTAGGTACTCCAGAACATCGCAGACCATTCAAGAATTCAGGAGTGTGCAAATCCGCCAACATATCTGCATTTGAATCTGACTTACAAACTGAATCACAACTCAAATACGTCCTACCCTCCGCGGGATTGTGATCATTCATGTATTTGTTAATGCTATCTACCACATCCAATGTTGGAGCCAATATAGCACTATCCTTAAGATATTACAGATCCACATTACCACGTCTAAAGGCAGGGAATGTGCTATCAACAATGGTAGCAATAGGGTCATCATCACAACGAAGCAATAACTCATCTGGATTTGTAATATCTGCTTCACCGTCACTTGAATTACCAAGTGTTCCGTCCCCTATATTAGATATCCAGTTTGCAAACTCTTCAATTTCTTTAGCCCCAATCGATGATTGTACACTTCTTAGTCGTAGATTCTTGGTTAGCCTAAAAACTTTACAGGATCTCCAAAGATATGATGAATTTATGCTCGCCCCCACAATATCTTGTCTTGTGCCCTTTGGAATTACAGGTAGAATTTGCCTAAAATATCCACCAAATACAACTGTTTTACCACCGCATGTCATTTCATAACTATTTGGATTTTTGGAGCGCAACAAATCCCTCATAGTTCGGTCCAGGGCTTCAAAACAATGTTTATGCATCATTGGAGCTTCGTCCCAGATTATCAACTTGGTCTGCATAATCAGCTGAGCCAAAGGGGTGCCTTGACTTATGTTGCAAGTGGAATCTTCATTCATAGATATAGGTATAGCGAACCGAGAATGTGCAGTCCTGCCACCTGGTAATAGAAGAGAAGCTATGCCGCTAGATGCAACATTTAACACTATTTCACCCTTTGACCTTAATGCGGTGGACAATGCTCTCCACAAAAACGTCTTACCAGTACCTCCATAACCATATACAAAGAATAATCCCCCAGCTTTCCCTTCAATATCTTTTAACACTTCGTCATAAACTCCTTTTTGCTCTTTTGTTAATTGACTGACCAATTCCTGATTATCTTTCTCCTGAGCAAGACAATCATATGCCAATTCTTCCTGTATGAGCCTATTGGATATTAAATTGTGTGTCTCGTAGTTTGCCGTTGGCATTTCTGAAAAGTCCCTCAAACTCTTTCCCATCATTGATAACATCTTTTCAATCTCAACTAAAGTAAAGTTCTTCTTCTCAGCATCATTCATGACATAATCTGCGTATTTTTCAAGCAATAATTTAGTATAGATTTTTTTTTTTGTTTTTGTTTTTTAAATTTTAGTAATGAATAGCATTTTTTAGCCAAATCATAGTGAAAAAATAATGCACAGTAAGAGCTCGTGTACCTGTATTATGCAATTGTTTTCGTATTTGATATTGTGCATCTTCAGACAGATGTTGCCACACAGCACTCCAAACGGCTTCCGGTTTTCCTATACAACTTGTCATTATCAATGTAACAAAAAATCTCCTCAACTTATCCCCAGACGCCCAATGATTTGCTTCCTCAATTCCGTCAACATATTCTTTGTCATCATCAACTAAACCCCTAGCATAACACGCATCTCGGAATGATCCATATTGCACACCATCAACAGTTCTTATATCGGCATAACTTCTAGGACCACGTACTTTATTTAACAAACATCTAAGATAAAATATTTCCCCGGTGGCTGGTGGTACGTAAAAAATCCTTCCGATTGCGAAACGTCTTTGCCTTGGCTGCCATTTTCTAACATCTTTCTTCCACACGAATTTCGTTGGCATCTCAGTATAAGTCAGATTTCTTGCATCTGGGAATGTCTTATTAGCCTCAAACCATTCTAAGAACATGCTCTGTGATATTGTGGGTCTATTAACAATGTTCTCAACTGGATCGTCATCGCAGAACACCACCGTTTGTTGATTCGGGAGGTGAAAGCTTAACCTTTCCACTGAAGGAGCCCTAAGTTGTATATCAAAACCAAACAAACGCCAAACCGCTTCGCAGGGTGATATGTACCTACCGTCATAGTACATATTAATCTCATCTATGATTGTAGCAGTGTCTTCATCATTGCTAGTTTTGTAGAACTCGGTTGTTACCCGATCATGTCCCTTATTTACATACTTGAACATGTACTTGATTGAGCGGGACTGGTTGCACCACTCTACATTTATATGAGCCTTGTATTTAAGCAACAAATGTCTATTGTGCGGTACAACATACCTGTTGTCCAATGCAATGCCATTCTTTGTAATTGTCCTCCCATTGTCCCGTCGTTTATATAACGGATATCCATCATCATCAAAAGATGCACAATCAACAAATCTCTTAAGGAAAATGTTTTGAACATCGTCCGTCTACCATACAGGGCGAATTCAACCGTGCTTTTCCACATGGCCCATGCATCATAAATTCCTCAACTGCTTTGTAGTATTCTGCATATGTATTTTCATCCGGTATCTCAGCTGAAATGATTTTTTCGAGAGTACCAACTTGTCCCACTTCTTGTTTTGTATCCAAAAACAGTAGTATATGAGCATGCGGAAGACCTCTTTTTTGGAACTCAATGGTATATATAACTGCAACATAACAACCATAACAAAATAATGTTAATCATCTTTTCAGACGTTAATAACAGTAAAAATTGATGACTAAATGAGAAAATTGCCTCCAGCCACAGAGCCAAACAGTTTGTTCTTTCTACAGTAAGCTATTAAGGCATCCAATTTCATCTTGAATAACCTACAAATGATGTCAGGACGGTCTTCTGCTTTCAACCTTCGGTCTTGCAAATAACGTTGCACCTCTGGCCACTTTGGGTTGCATGTAAAAGTGATAAATAAATTTGGATATCCAATCCATCTACAGATTGCCATCGCATCCTGGTAATTCTGTATCATGTATCGAGCTCCGCCTGTAAAACTCGAAGGTAGTATTATCCTACGACCTTGCGTTACCGGATTTACTTCTCCCCTAGTTAAAGCATCGGTCAATCCACTGTATGTTTCACACCTAAGGCTTTTTTGGTGTGTCCTGATATAAATGAGTCTTCCTGACTCAACCATTGTGTAACCGTCCACAACGAATTGTTTGAATAACCGCTTAGCATGTAGTTGTAACACCCCGAAATTTTTCAACTTTTAAGACTTATATAATAAAGGTAAATTCTCATTAAATCCCATGATATAACATAAAAAGTACGGGGTGCTATGCCACACCTGAGCTAGAGAACTCAGGTGCACAGGCTAACTAACTAATATCCTCAATAATGTAAATGCATAAGCATGGCACGTAGGCCGAAAGGGGAACTATCTACTTCTACGCTCCAAGACTCTAGCGCGCTCCAGTGTCTACTCCTCAGTGCCTGAAAGCCAAATATATCTGTTTAGCGAGAGATGCTGGTAACCCACTCCAACGCGTTGAAATACAGTACATATAGATATATACATAGATATAAGAAAAACCATTTCGAAGCATGAAGATATATCCTAAGAGACTCTAGCTTTTAAAACAGGGAATAGACTCGACAGATAGGGATAAGCACAGTCAACAGTCACACAATTTACAAGCATAGGGAACAGACTCGAAAGATAGAGATAAGCGCAACCAAAAGTCATAACCAAGCATATGCGATTTACTAGCATGTATCCTATGGTTACGATTTCATAACATTTATAACATCAAACCATCCATATCTCATCACATAGCACACTTTGATGGCGCCACAGGACCAATCGCATTCCCATACATGAGGGTCAGCGCATATAGCTCTGACACGGCCCCGCAGCACCCTGCCCCGTATCGCAACACGGAGGGGTCGATCGCAACCGACCGATGAACCGCAAATGAGAAGGGAAAACTCAGGATTCAATATATATTCCCGGTGAAGAAATATTACAAGGCTTATATAGTAGAGCTGCCCACCACAATAGGTGGGGGAGCTTGACACAGCTAAAGACTCTACTTTATTATAACAAACTAATAACAAACTAGCTGACTTTATACCCCCCTTCAAGCTGACGGGGGACAAGATACCACGCCAAGCTTGTGACGGAGATCAGCAAAGCGAACACTCGAGAGTGGTTTGGTGAAGATGTCAGCTAACTGGTCTTGAGGAGACACAAAATTGACCTTGAGAGCACCAGTCGCTACCTTATCCCGGACGAAATGATAGTCCACCTCAATGTGCTTCGTCCTAGCGTGAAAAACCGGATTAGAGCATAAGTATGTCGCTCCGAGATTATCACACCATAACACGGGAACAGTCGAAGGAAGCAACCCAAGCTCACGCAGCAGAGACTGAATCCATGTGACCTCGGCCGCAACATCAGCTAAAGCTTTGTACTCAGCTTCCGTAGAAGACCGAGCGACAGTGCGCTGCTTTTTGGAAGTCCAGGACAGAAGATTAGGACCCAGAAAAACAGCAAAACCTTCGGTTGATCGCCTATCAATAGAGCAACCAGCCCAGTCTGAGTCGGAGAAGGCATGGATAACTGGAGTAGTAGATGGAGAGATGCGCAGACCAATATCCAACGAGCCTTTGACATATCGAAGGACTCGTTTCAACGCCGCCCAGTGACCATGTGTAGGAGTGTGCATGAACTGACACAACCTGTTAACAGAAAAAGCCAAGTTGGGACGGGTGATTAGTAACTACATCAATGACCCAACCAGTTGACGGTATGGGGTTGGATCATCTAACGCTTCTGAGTCCTCAGCAGGAGGCGACACCGACATCGGAGTGCACAACGGTTTGCAAGAATCCATACCAGCCTTCCGTAACAACTCAGTCATGTACCTCTTCTGGGACAACACTAGGGACTTGTCTACCTCAACATCCTCAATACCCAGAAAGAACCTAGGCTTGCCAAGATCCCGAATCTTGAAGACCGTGGATAGCCTGTTGAGAATGTCATGAATCACAGCAGGGTTGTTGCCCATGAGAAGTATATCGTCCACATATACTAGCAAGTATATCCGAACGTCCCCGGTATCATAAATGAAAAGTGAGATATCCGTTTTGGAAGGGCGGAACCCGACATGAACCAGGAAATCGTGTAGCCTCGTAAACCAAGCGCGTGGTGCCTGTTTGAGCCCATACAACGATCGCTGCAACTTACACACATGATCGGGATAATTTGGGTTAGTATAACCCGGTGGCTGGCGCATGTAGATATCTTCAGTGACATGCCCATTTAAGAAGGCATTATGTACGTCAAGTTGACGCATTGTCCAGTTCTGGGAGACAGCAAAGGCTAACAACAGCCGAATGGTTGTGGGCTTGACTACCGGACTGTAAGTGTCTACGTAGTCTTGCCCTGGTATTTGATTAAACCCCTTAGCTACTAAGCGGGCTTTGTATCGTTCAACTGTACCATCAGACTTCCGCTTGATACGGAAAACCCACTTACAACCGATGACATTCATCCCTGGTTGTGAGGGCACGAGGCGCCATGTTTGATTATGCAGCAAAGCATTGAATTCAACATTCATGGCATCACGCCACTGAGGTTGACAAACAGCCTGGGAATGGCACGTGGGTTCGTCATCGTCCACCGACGCAACCAAGGCAGTGGGACGCTTGCGTTGAGCGTCAGTTGTAGTCCGGAGTCGCATCACATGCGTGCGAACAGTTGGACGTTGTTGACGACGCCTAGTTGATGTCGTGTTTGACGTGGACGGCTGATAGGAGGAAGATGCTGCAGTTGCCGTGGACGAGGATGTGGGCAACGATGTACGTGGCGGACCACCTGTGGTTGGTTGAACATCATTGTTTGTGGCCATCTTAGTAGCTTGAATGTTAACCTGAGCACACGCCCAAGGTTGTACATCCTGTGTAGGAACAGTTGCTAATGCCTTCACCTGTGAGAATGGGAACACCGCCTCATTGAAGCGGACATGCCGGGATATGTAGACACGTCCGGACTGAATGTCAAGACACCGGTAGCCATAGTAGGAGTCCGGGTAACCAAGGAAAACACACGCCTTGGAACGGAAGTCCATTTTGTGTGTGTTGTATGGGCGTAAATGCGGGAAACACTCACACCCAAACACACGTAGTATGGTATAGCTAGGAGCATGGCCGTAAAGTAAAGAATACGGACTTTTACCACACGAAACAGGAGATGGAAGGCGATTGATCAAGTGTACTGCCGCTTCAAAGGCATAGAACCAGAACTTGTGGGGAACCTGAGCACGGGCTAACAAAGTCAGACCCGTTTCGACCACATGCCGATTCCTGCGTTCCACACGCCCATTCTGTTCGTGTGTATGAGGACACGACTTTTTGTGGAGTATTCCTGCGGCTGCAAAAACCGTACCTAATTTCATGTATTCAGCACCCATATCGGATTGGACACATTTTATGGGGCGGGAGAACTGTTTCTCCACTAATGCCCGAAACCTGCCAAAGATAGAATAAATGTCCGACTTTAGATGCATGGGATAAATCCACATGAACCTAGAGTAGTCATCGACGAACAACACAAAGTATTTATGGCCATCAACTGTGGGCACAGAAGATGGACCCCAAATATCAGAAAAAACAAGATCCAAAACCGACTCACTAGACTTTTCAATACGTGACAATGGGAAGCGCGCAGACTTGCCCATCTGACACGGAGTACATACGTTATTTAAAGAATTACAAGACCCTACAACTGGACAGGTTGCCAAGACTTGTTTTAAAACTTGAGAGTTGGGGTGACCGAGACGCTCATGCCATGTCCTTGGGGACGCTTTAGCAGACAAGAAAGCAACTGGACTGGAAACATTGAGTTGGTACATCCCACCTGTGCTAGGACCTCTAAGCAGAATCTGCTGGGTGGTACGGTCCTTCACAACAACAAAACGAGGGTGAAATTCAAAGTACACATCATTATCTTGTGTAAACTTTTGGACAGACAACAAAGACGCACGTAGTTCGGGGACATGTAACACATGTTTTAGAAACAGAGACCGAGACGGGGAATTTAATGTAAAGGAACCTGTATTCTTTATAACCAGACCTGTGCCATCTCCTACTTGCAGTGCCTCACCGCCTGAATAGTGTTCTACGCCAGTCAGACTATCAACCGCCGGTGTAGCATGTGCATTGGCCCCCGTATCAGGCAGCCACACATTTGAAAAAGGAGCAGTATTGTGGTCATTTTGTTGCTGCCGGTGTACCATGTTCGCCTGAGGTTGAGTAGAAGCCGAACGAGGGCCGCCGTAGTCGTCGAACCGCCGGTAGCAAGTCAGGGCCGTGTGACCGGGTATGTCAAATATTTGACAACGCACACCACCTCGGCCACGCTGTCCACGCCCTCGCTGGCCTCTCTGATGCCGGCCGCGACCACGTCCACCGTCGTTGGTGGACCTGTTGTTCGATGGTGCCTGCTGGGCAATCAACACAGCTGGAGAATGGCCGATTGGTGCAGCTTCTTCCGGAAAAAGGTAGCTGTGAGTATTAAGGAGATCAGCTACTTCCGATATGGTCAGGGGAGCACTTTTGGTCGTGAGGGAGGCAACGAGTGACCGATATTCTGGCCTGAGACCCCTGAATAGGTGCAGGTTCTGCTCGTCCAGTCCTATCGGCCGACCGGCCAGTGCGAGCTGTTCGACGAGAATTTTGGCACGTTCGAGATACTCGGATGTCGACGAGTTCCCTTGCTGAAGCCCCTGGAGTTGTGTCAGTAAGCTGAGGGTGCGGGAACGCGACGTCAAGCCCAAGGCTGTTTCGACCGAGACCCAAACCGCCCTGGCAGTGTTGTGGCCGATTGCGAGGTATAGTACCTCCTCCGCCATGGACGAGTACAGCAAGCTTAGAATGGACTGGTCCTGTTGGACCCAGTCGGCGTGTAGCGGATTCACCACCGGGGTTGCCGTCGGCGTGGTCGGGGAAGGCAAAAACTCCGGCGGACACACACTCGTTCCGTCGACAAAGCCATAGAGATTTTGGCCTCTCAAGAACGGGACCAGCTGCGCTCTCCAGAACAGGTAGTTCGTGGCATTCAACTTTAGTGAAACATAGTGATGCGCCTGCTGCAGTACACTGGCCGGATGTCGGTCAGGTTGCGCAACTGCTTGGTTCTCTCGTTCGGAGGAGTCGGCGGGAGTGGGGTTGGATGTGACTGTGGGTGGGTTGGCCATTGGATCGTATTTTAGGCTGATACCAAATGAGAAGGGAAAACACAGGATTCAATATATATTCCCGGTGAAGAAATATTACAAGGCTTATATAGTAGAGCTGCCCACCACAATAGGTGGGGGAGCTTGACACAGCTAAAGACTCTACTTTATTATAACAAACTAATAACAAACTAGCTGACTTAATACCGCAGCTCATCATATTGTTTGATCGCAACCAAACAGTGGACCGCAGCCCAAGAGTAGTCATCTGACCGCAGCCAGGAATATGAACCGCAGCTCATGTAAAACGTTTGATCGCAAACAAACGGTGGACCGCAGCCCGACAGTGTAAATCTGACCGCAGCCAGCTTCTGAACCGCAACTCAGGAATAACCAATTTGATCGCAACCAAATTGGGGTATCATGCACACATAACACATAGCAAACACATGCAACCCACATTGACACATTGGGAAGGGGGAGAAATCGTATAACGAAACCTATGCGTGATCATCCACATACTAAGAATAAACCTAAGGGGTTCATACTTCTCACACCTAGGCCAACGGGATACCAATTCAACTAGCATGTAATATATATAAGACTTATTCAACCTACGAATGGTACCCGAACATCAAACTAGTCATAGGCACGATAGACGGAGTCCGTTGGGACACCACGGGGGTCGGGGGAACATCAAACGGGGAAGCCGGGATCCCGAAGTGTGACAATTTCCAGCGGGTAGCCGGTGGGTGAAGGGTCACCCGCCGGCTGCCCGCCGGTGACGAATTTCCGGGCAGCGGGTGCCCGGCGGGCAGTCGCCTGCCCGCCGGCTGTGACGCCAAACCTGGCCGCGGGTAGGTGGTGGGTCCCCTACCCCCCACTGACTCTTTTTCACAAATAACGCCCCGGGAACCTTTGTGGAACCCGAAACCATACTTAGACACCTTTAAACGCAATCGATGGCAACACGTAGATAATTAACGGATCAAAAGCAAGAAACATACGGCACATATCCTATCATGCTTTCTAAACATAATTGACACCCAAACATGCGAATTCCCACCCAATATATCAAGAATAACACCACACGAGTTTCACGATACATCCTAGGGCTCTAATTATATTTAAATCATCAAGAACGCAATTCATCTTTTAAGAAACAATGTGATTTATCAAGAATATCACACAATCATTAGGAATCTAGGTTTATCAGGAATATCACACAATCATCAACAATCTCTTTCCATCATCTAGATTATCTAGATTACCCAAGAAATCATAACATCAATTATCAAGATCACACCATTAATATCATAACCGAATCATCAATACACAAGAATGTAGAGGGATGCCTAGAGGGAGATCATAGCTAAGAAAATAGGTTTTGTTGAGACATGGGTTACCTCTTAGCCTTAATTGATTTCCTTGGCTATGAAGGGTCTTTCTCTAAGTCTTTCTTCTTTCTTGATTTCTCCTAGGGAAATTCTTGGAACTCCTTGTGTGGTGAGAGATTATTGTGGTGGGGGTTTCTAGGTGCCTCCTATATCCCCTATTTATATATCTAAGAGTCCTAATTAGGGCCCAATACTTTAGGCTTGCTAACTCTATTCCTTTTAGGACTAGGGGTTGGGTTTAGACGTGAGGGCCCACGGACTATGGTGGGCCTTTTCCTAATTAATTATTGTAATTTAATTCTTTCTTTGAATAATTGGTTAAATGATTAATTGGTTTTAGGGGTCGTAACACGGGGTGTTACACTCTCCCCCCCTTAACGGGAAGCTTCGTCCCCGAAGCTTGGTCCTTGCCGAGTGATTTCCTCTTGGTTACTTGGTGTGAAGAGTTCGGGGTAGCGTTCCCTCATCGTGTCCTTGAGTTCCCATATTGCTTCCTCGGTCCCATGATTGGTCCAGAGGACTTTTACCATTTCTATGGCTCGACGACGGGTGGTTCTTGTCTTGGTGTCCAGGATTCTTACAGGTTTTTCTTCGTATGCTAGTGACTCGTCGAGGTCCACGACCTCGGGTTGTAGCACGTGGCTTGGGTCGTGCACATATTTCTTTAGCTGGGATATGTGGAATACGTTGTGTACTCATTCTAGTTCGATGGGTAGAGCGAGGCGGTACGCTAGGTTCCCGACTCTTTCTACGATTTCATAGGGGACGATAAATCGAGGGCTGAGCTTTCCTTTTCTTCCGAATCTCATTACCCCTCGTGTGGGTGAGATTCTCAACCAGACCTTGTCCCCAGGGTTGAATTCGGCTTGTTTTCTCCTTAGGTCGGCGTAGGATTTCTGGCGGTCCTGGGCAGCCTTCATTCTTTCTTGGATGTGCTTGACTTTGGTTATGGTGTCTTGTAGGTATTGGGGCCCTAGTGTTACTGGGTCGACCATGTCTTCCCAACATAAGGGGGTTCTACACTTTTGTCCGTATAGAGCTTCGTAGGGTGCCATAAGAATGCTTGTGTGGTAGCTGTTGTTGTACGAGAATTCAATGAGGTCTAGATGTTCTTCCCATGTCCCTTGAAAGTCTAACACGCAGGCTCTTAGCATGTCTTCGAGAGTTTGAATGGTTCTCTCGGTTTGGCCGTCAGTGGTGGGGTGGAAGGCAGTGCTTAGTTTTAGTTGTGTCCCCAAGGCTGATTGCAGCGATTTCCAAAACTGTGAGAGGAACCTGGAATCTCTATCGGACACAATGTTTCGGGGAATTCCGTGGTATTTCACCACCCGGTTCAGGTAGGCTTGGGCTAGTTGTGTCATTGTCCATGTTTCCTTCATGGCAATGAATCGTGCCGTTTTGGTTAGCCGGTCTACTATGACCCAAATTTTATCCTTGCCGATTTTTGTTAGAGGTAACCCCCCGACGAAGTCCATGGATATGGAATCCCACTTTCCTTGTGGTATCTCAAGGGGTTGTACCAGTCCCTTGGGCTTGCATCGTTCGGCCTTCACCCTTTCGCAGTTCAGGTATTTGGCCACGAAATCCGCAATTTCCTTTTTCATATTGGGCCACCAAAACGACTTTTTCACATCTTGGTATAGTTTGTCACCCCCTGGGTGAACTGAGTATGGGGAGTTGTGTCCCTCCTCCAAGATTTGTTGTTTTAAGTGGGGATGCGTTGTGGGCACGCACCACTTACCTTGGTAGCGGAGACTGCCATCTTCGTGTATTTTGAAGGGTCCTTCCTTTCCCTAGGTTAGGTCGAGACAAATTTTATCTAGTTCCGGATCCTGTTGTTGTCCTGTTTTGATTTCTTCGAAGAGTGTGGGTATGATTTGGGTGTTGAATAGGTGGATCTCGGGGTGGGTTTGATCTTGTTCTATTATTTCCAAGTTTAGCTTCTGGAAGTCTCTGTACAGCTGGTCTGGTAGGATCCAGGTGGCGTTGAGGGAGGTGATTAGTCTTCCTGCTTAGGGCGTCTGCCACGATGTTAGCTTTTCCCTCGTGGTACTGGATGTCTAGGTCGTAGTCTTTTATGAGCTCTAGCCACCTTCATTGCCTCATGTTTAGGTCTTTCTGGGTGAAGATGTATTTTAGGCTTTTATGGTCTGTGTAAATCTTGCATTGTACTCCGTATAGATAATGCCTCCAAATTTTCAGTGCGAATACGATATCGGCTAGCTCGAGGTCATGGGTGGGGTAATTTTCTTCGTGGGTTTTGAGTTGCCTAGATGCGTACGCTATCACCTTGCCTTTTTGCATTAGTACGCACCCCAACCCCTTTTTGGACGCGTCACTGAAGACCTCGAACCCTTCCACCCCGGAGGGGATGGCTAGTACGGGTGCCGTGGTTAGCTTATCCTTCAATTCCTGAAAGGCTGTGGCGCAGTTGTCGTCCCATCGGAAGGGGGTCTCCTTTTTCATGAGTCTGATGAGAGGTTGAGCTATCTTGGTAAAGTCGGGTACAAACCTCCTGTAGTAGCCAGCTAAGCCCAGGAAGCTTCGGACCTCTGAAAGTGAACTCGGTGTGGTCCATTCCTTAATGGCATGGACTTTGGCGGGGTCCACCTTAATTCTTTCTTTGGTTATTACGTAGCCCAGGAAGGCTACGCTGTCTTTCCAGAATTCGCATTTGGAGAACTTGGCGTATAGCTGGTGTTCTCTTAGAGTTTGTAAGGTTATGCGGAGGTGCCTTTCATGTTCTTCCTTGTTTCGGGAGTAGACTAGGATGTCGTCAATGAATACAATGACGAAGTCATCCAGGTGGGGTCGGAATACTCGGTTCATGAGGTCCATGAATATGGCGGGTGCGTTTGTGAGTCCGAAGGGCATTACGGTAAATTCGTAGTGGCCGTAACGTGTTCGGAAGGCCGTTTTCTGAATGTCCGGTTTGGCCACTTGTATTTGGTGATATCCGGATCTTAGGTCAATTTTCGAGAACACCCCTGCCCCCTTAAGCTGATCGAACAAGTCATCGATTCGGGGAAGGGGGTACCTATTCTTTATTGTGACTTGATTAAGTTCCCTGTAGTCGATGCACAGGCGCATGCTCCCATCTTTCTTTTTAACGAATAGTACTGGTGCTCCCCTTGGGGAGGTGCTGGGGCGGATGTAACCTTTATCTAGTAGTTCCTGAAGTTGCGTTTTCAGTTCCTTCATTTCTTTTGGTGCTAGCCTGTATGGTGGTTTAGAGATCGGGGCAACGCCAGGTACGAGGTCTATTGTGAACTCGACTTCCCTGGCCGGGGGGTGCCCTGGGAATCTCGTCTGGGAAGACGTCGGTGAATTCATTTACTACTGGAATGGTTTGTGGTTCGGGTGTTTTGGTGTTGAGGTCCTCGACCGAGCATAGGAAGGCCTCGCTTCCTTGGTTTAGGTATTTCTTTATTTTCACCATGTTTACAAGTTTGATCTCTGGACCCTGGCGGATTCCATGGTACGACACCCTTTTACCGTTTGGTCCCCGTAGGACCACTTTTTGTTCTCCGCATAGGATTTGTGCTTGGAATTTCCCTAGCCAGTCCATGCCCAAGATCACTTGTACCCCATCCAGTCTGAACTGTATTAAGTTGCTGGGAAATTCCACTCCTTGGATGGTGATCATTATGTTCTCGTACATGCGGTCGCACTTGTGATTTCGCCGGAGGCCACTTTGACCTGGAGTCGGACTTTGGTGCTGGTGTTAAGGCCGAGTTGAGTGGCGAATTCGGTTGCTATAAATGAGTTGGTAGCCCCCGAATCAAATAGTATAGTGGCGGGGGTGGCGTGTACTAGGAAGGTTCCGGAGACTATGTTGCTGTCTCCGATCCTGGCTTTGCTTAGGGTAAGGATTCTTCCATGAATGGTTGGCGTTGCGACTTTGTGGAGTGAGACGGTCCTGGGGTTTTTAGGCCCTCGGGTGGGAATTGTGTGACTCTCCTCAGGTTTCCTTTTGTATCCCAGGTGTGTCTCCCGGGGTTGGTTTGATACTTGCTGTAGTTGGAATGCCTTGGCATAGGCTTCCCCGAGGGTTCTCGGTTCTTGTGTGGCCAGGGCTTTCTGGTGTTTGGGATCAAGGCCTGTTATGAACTTCTTGACCTTGCTCATCTCGGTGGGCACCAGCTCGGGGGTGAGGCGAGCCAGTCTGCGGAATTGCTGGTAGTATTCCGTGATCGGGGTTGCTCCTTGTTTTAGGTGGAGGAACTCTTCGTATATGGTGGCTTTTAAATGGTTGGGGTAGAATTGTTCTCGTAGTCGTGTTTTTAGGGTTTCCCAGTTGAATTCGGGGTTTTGTTCGTATGTGGGTCTTTCGTGAGCCCACCAGGTGTCGGCCTCGTGTCGAAGTAGAAGGAGGCTATTCTCACTTGGTGGTTTTCCGGGCATCTGGTTGCCCTGAATATCTTGTCAAAAGTCCCGATCCATTCCTCGAGGGTCGTGGGGTCTTCGTTCCCCGAGAAGATGGGTGGTTGGTGTGCCGAGACTTAGTGGTAGATTTCCAAGTTCTCGTTTGTTGGTGATGGTTGGGGAACGGTAGTACTTAGTGCCTGGGCAATTTGGGCCAGGCGTTGCAGATTCTGAGTCAAGAATTCCTGGGTGGGGAGTTTCGGTGTTCCTACCAGTTTCCTTTTTGGCGCCATCCTGGTGTTCATGGGTTGATGTTATTTTGCATTTTTACCTTGATGCGATAAGCGGAGGGGGAGTTTTCTTTAAATAAGTGAGGGAGGGTTATGTGTAGGTTTCACAGTCTCACCGCGCGTCCTAAGGTTCCTGAGTCCTATGTTCCAAAATACTCAGAGTTCAAGCCTATTGTCTTAAAGTCTAGTCTTAAGAGTCTTATCCTAGGGTCAAACTTAGGCTCGGATACCAACTGTAACACCCCAAAATTTTTCAACTTTTAAGACTTATATAATAAAGGTAAATTCTCATTAAATCCCAAGATATAACATAAAGAGTACGGGGTGCTATGCCACACCTGAGCTAGAGAACTCAGGTGCACAGGCTAACTAACTAATATCTTCAATAATGTAAATGCATAAGCATGGCACGCAGGCCGAAAGGGGAACTATCTACTTCTACGCTCCAAGACTCTAGCGCGCTCCAGTGTCTACTCCTCAGTGCCTGAAAGCCAAATATATCTGTTCAGCGAGAGATGCTGGTAACCCACTCCAACGTGTTGAAATACAGTACATATAGATATATACAGAGATATAAGAAAAACCATTTCGAAGCACGAAGATATATCCTAAGAGACTCTAGCTTTTAAAACAGGGAATAGACTCGACAGATAGGGATAAGCACAGTCAACAGTCACACAACTTACAAGCATAGGGAACAGACTCGACAGATAGAGATAAGCGCAACCAATAGTCATAACCAAGCATATGCGATTTACTAGCATGTATCCTATGGTTATGATTTCATAACATTTATAACATCAAACCATCCATATCTCATCACATAGCACACTTTGATAGCGCCACAGGACCAATCGCATGCCCATACATGAGGGTCAGCGCATATAGCTCTGACACGACCCCGCAGCACCCTGCCCCGTATCGCAACACGGAGGGGTCGATCGCAACCAACCGATGAACCGCAGCTCATCATATTGTTTGATCGCAACCAAACAATGGACCGCAGCCCAAGAGTAGTCATCTGACCGCAGCCAGGAATATGAACCGCAGCTCATGTAAAACGTTTGATCACAACCAAACGGTGGACCGCAGCCCAAGAGTGTAAATCTGACTGCAGCCAGCTTCTGAACCGCAGCTCAGGAATAACCAATTTGATCGCAACCAAATTGGGGTATCATGCACACATAACACATAGCAAACACATGCAACCCACATTGACACATTGGGAAGGGGGAGAAATCGTATAACGAAACCTATGCGTGATCATCCACATACTAAGAATAAACCTAAGGGGTTCATACTTCTCACACCTAGGCCAACGGGATACCAATTCAACTAGCATGTAATATATATAAGACTTATTCAACCTACGAATGGTACCCGAACATCAAACTAGTCATAGGCACGATAGACGGAGTCCGTTGGGACACCACGGGGGTTGGGGGAACATCAAACGGGGAAGCCGGGATCCCGAAGTGGGACAATTTCCAGCGGGTAGCCGGTGGGTGAAGGGTCACCCGCCGGCTGCCCGCCGGTGACGAATTTCCGGGCAGCGGGTGCCCGGCGGGCAGTCGCCTGCCCGCCGGCTGTGACGCCAAACCTGGCCGCGGGTAGGTGGTGGGTCCCCTACCCCCCACTGACTCTTTTTCACAAATAACGCCCCGGGAACCTTTGTGGAACCCGAAACCATGCTTAGACACCTTTAAACGCAATCGATGGCAACACGTAGACAATTAACGGATCAAAAGCAAGAAACATACGGCACATATCCTATCATGCTTTCTAAACATAATTGACACCCAAACATGCGAATTCCCACCCAATATATCAAGAATAACACCACACGAGTTTCACGATACATCCTAGGGCTCTAATTATATTTAAATCATCAAGAACGCAATTCATCTTTTAAGCAACAATGTGATTTATCAAGAATATCACACAATCATTAGAAATCTAGGTTTATCAGGAATATCACACAATCATCAACAATCTCTTTCCATCATCAAGATTATCAAGATTACCCAAGAAATCATAACATCAATTATCAAGATCACACCATTAATATCATAACTGAATCATCAATACACAAGAATGTAGAGGGATGCCTAGAGGGAGATCATAGCTAAGAAAATAGGTTTTGTTGAGACATGGGTTACCTCTTAGCCTTAATTGATTTCCTTGGCTATGAAGGGTCTTTCTCAAAGTCTTTCTTCTTTCTTGATTTCTCCTAGGGGAATTCTTTGAACTCCTTGTGTGGTGAGAGATTATTGTGGTGGGGGTTTCTAGGTGCCTCCTATGTCCCCTATTTATATATCTAAGAGTCCTAATTAGGGCCCAATACTTTAGGCTTGCTAACTCTATTCCTTTTAGGACTAGGGGTTGGGTTTAGAGGTGAGGGCCCACGGACTATGGTGGGCCTTTTCCTAATTAATTATTGTAATTTAATTCTTTCTTTGAATAATTGGTTAAATGATTAATTGGTTTTAGGGGTCGTAACACGGGGTGTTACAGTAGTTGTGTACTCAAAACCGACTTTCTCGACTGCAGGCGATAGCAAAAAAACTCTCTTGGACTGATCCTTCGTCTACCACAACCACCCACGTTGCCTTTTATGCTTGAAAATGCTATGTCTTCCCGATAACCATCTTCACCATACGGAAACAACAATGGGTATTGAAGTGGTAAGTAGGAAGGATTTAATTAACTTATTCTCTACAGTTGTCCACTCTTAGTTTGAACGACAATATCACGCTCACCAATACCAGTATCAAGATCTCCAACAATTAAAGCAGCTACTTCCGACACTTGCGGTAGATTGTTTGTCCTTGCATCTTTATTGCGCTTGCCAAACAACTTAATCTTTACTTCAACGCCAGGATTTCTATCCATTTCAGACTTAGCCATCCGAAAAGACTTAACTAAAACATTATTTTTATCCAACTCACCCTGAATTACATATACTATTTCCACATGAATGTCATCTTGCTCACCAGCACCCTTAAATGAAACAATAAATAGGAAATTATTAATACATTCGTCTACAATATATATATAGAGGGGTGATCACATGTGGTCATGTTGTTTGGTGTGGTCGTGTGGCGGAATTTCAGAATACACCAATAGTTAAGTAAGATATACACCATCAACGTCAGGAAATGCACCACCAAAGTCGCACACAAATTAGGTACGCATCACCAACAACACACCATTAGGTGTGAGTGAAAACACCATACAGTGTTCGGAAATACACCATTGGGGTTGGTGAGTTATATGGTATATTTTTTGGGTCTGTTGTGTATTTTCTGGTTTTTTTTTTTTTTTTTTTTTTTTTTTTTTTTTTTTTTTTTTGCATTTCATTGTGGTGTGTTTTCCTTACACTGTTGGTGCATGTTGTTAACACTGTTAGTGTATTCTGAAATTCCTCCACACGACCACATATGAGCATTATTATATATATATATATATATATATATATATATATATATATATATATATATATGGTCAGGTTCCTGTGAGGTTAGGTCTTCCCGTGTGGCATACTCCATTAGGTATGCATAAATGCACCACATAGTGTTCGTAAATACACCATTATGTGTGGTGTATTTTTTTTTTTTGTGGTGTATTTTTTTGGCATTTCATTCTGGTGTATTTTTGAACACTGTATGGTGCATTTATGCATACCTAATGGTGTATGTCGCACTGACCGCACGGGAAGACCTGACCTCACAGGAATCAGGAATCAATATTTATATATATATATATATATATATATATATATATATATATATATAAACTGATAACCGGCTATTTTGTTTACCTTACAGCATTGATACGGTTATTTTGTTCATTACTTGTGTCGTATATGTACAACTGGGCAAAATGTGGGGGCTTGCCTTCTTCTGGAAGAAGACTACCCATCAAGTGATAATTTTGTCCATTTAATCGGAAAACTGGCGGTCCGCCTCCCTTATTCACACTCATGTCGATTTTACCACCCATAGATGTGAAACAGAGCATGTTGTTGTATGTTCTGATGTTCTGGAGAAATTTTCTTGATAGTTCACCATTCCCGAAGAATAATTCGCTTAACCTTTGGGTGGCAACGGCAGTGTAGGCAACGTAATCTTTCCATTGTTGCAGCACATTGAAAACCTCGGTAATCCCCTAGTGACAGTTTTATTTTGTCTCTCCTCGAACCAGAATGATGCACCACAATGCTCACAAGTATTTGTTGCATCGCCCAAATCAAAGTACTCAACTACATTAGGACTTTATTTTAGTAGGCGATATTAAGTATGTGCAAGGAACATAACTATTAATCGTTAACACGTACCATGTGAAAACGTAGATGTTGTAGCAATATCGTAGAGTACTCGTTGTTCAGCAACCTCACTAATCAAATCTGTAGTGGCAGTAATTCCTTGTGCAGGATTGGGGCATGCTGATATAGAATGACATTTAGAGCACTGTTTTATACGAAGCATAAATGTCTCTAACAACAAATGATTGTATATCAACTATTTTGTATAGGTATAATTATACTTACAAAATGTTTCTATTTCAAAATTCACTAAATTTAATTTTGTTTAAGTACCGCAAGTCGTTTGACAATTATATTTACATTATTGATATATAGCTAAAATACATAGTACCATTATACTTTTTCAATTTAAAAGATAAGTGAAATAACAATAAAAGAAATACCGAAATTAATAATCATAATATATACATAAGAAAGTAGTAATTACATTAATGTATCTAATTCAAAATTCACTCATTAATTTTGTTTAAGTTCGGCATGTCGTTAGACAATTACATTAACAGCATTGACATTTATGTATAAATACATAGTACAATTATACTTGTTCAATTTAAAAGATAAGAAATTAAATACCGAAATTAATAATCATAATATATACATAAGAAATTAGTAATTACCGGGAGAACAATTATTTGTAGTTTGGATCATTGACGCTATAGATTCTTCTTCAAACGATGATAGCAAGTCTCTATTGACGACATTTGCTTCTTTAGTAGGGTCCGGACTACTAACCTCGCTTGA